TCGCTTCTACAGCACGTGGCATGCTCTTCTAACAACCCCACTGCACAGAAGGGGAAACTGAGGCTCTGAGGGTGTTAAGGCGAGGGAAGAGGGAATCAATGCAACTCAAATGAAGATTAAAAGTTGATTCTTACAGGAAATTGCCTGCCTGTGCAGAAACAGAGACCTGAATAATTACATTATGAGACAACCATACTATGAAAATACATGCAACTGTTAATAAGAAATGAGGCCATAACCGATCCTTAAACAATTACCAAGATCCATTAAGGCGGGCGAGGGAGACATGACACAGAGCTCTGCTTACGGTGTGATCTAAAAATTCCCTGTCGTAAATATTTCTGGAAGGACGCACAAGAAACTGCTGATGGTGGCTCGTGGCAAGAATGAGAGGGGGCCAGGGACTGGAGAACGCGGCGAGGGCGCTCCAGTGTACAACTGTGCGTACTGTCGACAGCTATGACCCAACCCCTGCCTTTGCCTATCGAAAGGAAACATCCGTGCATTAATTCCTGACTTTCCCCACTTGCCACAAATGTCTCCCTGGTCATACTTCTCTGTCACTCGAGCGAGCAAAGAGAGCAAACCCACTGAGTGCAGCCTAGGGTCTAACTGCAGAGGCAGGGTCTCTGATTGGCAGTGAGATGGGGTCACATACTGATGGAGGATAGGGAGGTCAGACACGGACCTTGGTGGAGGAGCCACATCCGGTCCTCGGGGAAGCTGGGAGGACCTCACTGCCCACATAAGACTTGGAGTGCTGAGCAGGAAGGCGGTGGGCTCAGCACGGAGCAGGACCACAAGCTGACCAGGGGAGGCTGTCCTTGCAGTAATCCTGTGGGAAACCGGCCCCCATCAATACCAGAAGCTCTGGCTGGCTGCTGGCCTCCTCTGCTACATGGGTTGCACCAATAAATACTTGTTGGCAAGTCGATTAAACCATCTAGGAATGACATCTGGAAATGCAGCTTTTTCTTCTTGGTGGAGGTGGACTGGCTGTCACAGCCAGTGAGTCCCAAGACACCATACCTGTATTTCCACTCTCCACCCAAAAGTCTGTCCTGGGCACCAAAGAGCCCTCTGTGCAGAACACCCCCAAGCCAGCACAAACCAAACACCCAAGTAAAATGTTTAGCCTAAGGCACAGACTGTGGGTCCCTCTGACTAATAGAACCATTAGTGCCCCTATATCAAAGCTGATGAGGTCCCAAGGCTGTTGGCCTCTATCCCAGACTCCTCTCCTCCATCTGTGTCACTCGCATGCCATTCACAAGGAACTCAAAGATGATGCTCTTCTGTTAGCACTCAGCCGCCAGCATGTGGAAAGAGGGGGCTTCAGGCCAGGAAGCAATTCCAGGCAGTAGCTGGAGCACACCACAAGGCCAGGCTACCCCAGAGATGAGCGTCTTCCATGACAACGCAGCCACATTCTGCATCCATTCTAGCTTTTCAGTGCACTCCGCAGAGTTCACCGGAGGGCCGGGGAGGAAGCCATGGAAGGAGAAAAAGCAACAGAGACAGTGGCAGGGGTCTCAGCTAAGTTCACCTCACAGGGATATGCAGTCGGGTGGAGCTGATGCTCCTGAACTGTCTCCCCCTGCCTTGTCTGCTGGGGTCTGCGCAAGCATCTCCCACGATGCCTCAGCCCGCATCCAGGTCCCTCAGCTATGAGCTGTATGATTTTGAGCAACATGTTTAAGCTCTCTGCACCTCAATTTCCTGAGGGTGAATAAAAGATGATGAGCCATATATGAGCTTAAAGAGAATTTTGATGATTAATTTTATAAGGGGCCTAGAGGATGAGTCCAGCAGGGTGAGCTACTTCTAGCTAGTATTATCATTGCTATTACTGGGCTGGCTCTAGACAACGGAGACAGCCCGATCACGTGCTTGGCTTTGGCTACGTACATCCCAGCTACACACTTCTCAGTGGCAGACCCTTGGGCATCCTGCGGGTCTTTTCAGTAAACTCCCAGATGCTAAATCATATCACTTCACAGTGCAGCGAAAGAACAATTCTACCCATAAGAGGTTTCAGGGCATCATGCATTTGCAAGAGAAAAATTGCAATGCCAGGAGCTCTTGTCCTCTCAAACACGTGCTTCAAAGTTCAGTGTGGTAAGACCTTTTAAGGCTTGCTTTTACAGTCATAAAAAATCATGACTTGAAGAAGAGTTATCCATTAACAACTTCCATTGCATTAGAGGAAAATGCTTGACAAAGGCCACTCTTTGTATTCCATTCATGACCCCCAGAGCCTCCCTCAGATCAGCTGCTTAACTGCAGCGAAGGGCTCAAACTATTGGCTGTCTGCTTACACCAGGGTGCCGGATTACTCCACGCTGAAGGGGAGACATTGAGGCTTTGGGGAAGGAGACCTTTCAGGGAAATAACCCCAAGGGGCAACTCTTTTATTTCCAATTAGGCTTTCATTCCAGTTCCCCAATCCCAGCCACGTGACCATGTCCACAATCAACAAATTCTTTCAACCCACAGGTCTTCACCTTGGGCCACCTATCCTACCCTGGGCCTCTTGGGGTTTAACTATTTCCCTCCCTGAGAGCCACGGTAGAATTTGTCCCAGGTCATCCTTTACATACACCACATAGCCCTTTTCCAATCACCATCCAGCCTTGGGGCTCCACCATATGGAGCTATGTCCTATCACCTAGTCAGGGCTCATAGTCATGAGCTTCCCATCTCTGCTGTCATACCTCTGCCCATGGTAGGGAATGCCACTCTTGTCTGGAGAATTGGCTAGCACCATCTCACACAAACTGACCCCGTCATAAAATGGGAGATGCCACAGGTTTGCATCGTGACATTGGTCCACCATCACAGTCCCTGGCCCTACTCTCCTCCTGAATCCCGTTCCAGATCCTGCCAAGCCAACAAAGACCCTAGCCACTGGAAGGAAGATGAAATCCTCCAAAGGATGGTCAAAGTGAGGTCAAAGTGAGGTCAAAGCGCATAAAACAGAACTACCCTTCCCACTCAGCCTCCTTCAACAGTGCAGAAGAATTCTGACTCTAACAGCCACAAGGGAACCAGAGGGACAGAATGGTAGTGTCTGCGTTTGTTGTTGAAGACCAAGCAATAGATTGAAGTGGGTCAATAAACAAAAGGAAGGGTTCTTTTTTTTTTTTTTTTTCCTTTTCTTTTTTCTTTCAGGCTGCCAGTGTCACCCATTTAATTCTGGCTACCACACCGATGCCAAACTTCAAACCAAGAAAGGGATCTGATGTTCCATTTTACAGATGAGTAAAGTGGAGCTCAGGGAATCAGAGTGACTCTCCAGAGACACAGCGCTACTGTGCAAGGCACTCCCTCCAGAGCTTTGGTGCAAGCCCAAATTAATTCCAGCAGTAAACTTCCCAGCTGGAGAAGAGCGTTCATGGATGCCATTGCTTCCCTGCCCCTAGGGTCTGTCTCACCATGTCTGTCTAAGAGGATGCCAGGCATTTCCCACAAGGCACTGGAGTGACAGAATCGCCCTGCTCAGGGCAGGCTCATCTGCTCCAGGGTTTTGCAGTTACACAGAAAATGGAGCACCATCCCACCATTTATCTTAGCCCAGCAACCACAGAAACAAATACCACTAAAGATGCTGCCAATTATACCAGTGTTGGGAGCTCCAGCCACCCTTGAAAACCTTCCGCTCACCTTTTGCTCAAACAAACACAAATTTTACATGAGTCAAAACCTCGCCTGTGGCTCCTTTTCTGGAGTGCTACTCTTGGGCTCCCAACTGAAGAAGGGAACATGGGAAAAATGGTTGGGTCTGAGAGGCCAGCAGACCTAGGGGTCCCTCCTTATGGCTCTGGAGCTCTGTGCTTCAGGGTTTTTTTGTTTATTTGCTTGGTTGTTTTCTGTCTGTCTGTCTCTCCCTCTCTCTAGAGGTCTGGAATCAGCTACCCTGCCTGGCAATTATATCTCTCATTTAAAATGAAGCCTGGCATTGGGGTTGCAAGTGCTCGCCTTGTGAATTTTGGTAGGCCTGTGGGAGAAACTGTGCAGTTAGGTGCTGCTAAACTGGTACATCAGACTGGATGTTTCTCACTACTGCGACCAAAAACCTGAGGGTGGGCTCATCTCGGAGCTAGGTAAAAGAAGGGATATTGTCCCCATGACAAGGAAAGCATAACAAACAGCAGGAGTGGGAGGCAGCTGGCCACTGAGGTCAGGAAGCAGAGAGAGGGAGTGAAGCCAGGCTATAAACACTTGAGATCCATCCTGCCAGCCATCCTCTTCCTCCTACAAGGCTCCACTTCCTGGAGGTTCTACAGCCTCCCGTATGTGTGAGTGAGCCATGTAGCCAGGTGAGCCTTTCCCGGCGGCTGCTGTTCCTCCGCTGTTACTTTTAAGCTGTCTCATAGGTTGTGCATCTTGAATAACAAAGGACCTTATGTCGCTGGGGTGAAACCAGCAGCCCGCCCAGGGGCTTGACCTCAACCACACAGTCTTTTGCAGCTGCTGGGACAGTTCACACCATCTAGAGTTCTGGTTGTCTGGGGGAAATGGCAGAATTCCACAGCCCGGGGCCTACAGCCAGCTGGAGGTGAGAAGCAGTTTGCCTCCTTTGGCAGCTGCCAGAAGGAGCGGGGATTTGGCTGTTCAGACCCGCATACAGCAGGTGGCCATAAATGACAGTTGTTAACACTACTTCTTGTTTGATAGCTGGACCCTAAACCAGGGACTAGGCAATGGTGACAATCTCCGGCTGTGACCAGGTGGGGTCATTTCATGAGACTCTTCAGCACTCACAGCCATTATCAAGTGCAGTTCCTGTTCTTACCCTGTGTGAACCTTCTGAGCACCCTAGCTGGATTATGACCACCATGCCATTCCCAGATGGGAGAACTGAGGCCCAACTCCCAAACTGCCAAGCCCTCACAGAAGTCAGAATGCAAAACCCTGACCTCTGCTAGGATTCCCCTATCCCCACCTCTCCCGGGCCAGGACGCCTCTGCACCCCTCACCACCTAGTCTAGCACACTTACGGTCAAGGCCATTGATGTAGCGCATGGTGACTTCGCAGTGGCCCCACACGGCACTCACCACCGGGTACAGTTTCTTGCCCTTGAGGCCACGGAAGGCCACACCTAGGTACTGGCCGTCCACGATGAAGCTGAGCGTGCCTTCGTCCATGTCCAGCACGACCAATAAGGAATCCGGCAGCGCAAAGGCCTCATCTGGTCCCAGGAAGGCAGGATACGCCACCCCAGGCCGGTTCTTGCCGTCGTGGTAAAGGCGACTGCGACCCAGGTCCCAGCCCCACGACTCGGAGTCACTGCCCACCAGCGCGGTGTAACCCACCGAGTGTAAAGGGGCACGGGCCGTGGCCACGCCCACCACAGCGTGGGTACCCCGCTGCCTAGCGGGCCAGTGGATTTGCCATGCGTGCAGACCCCGGGCGTGGCCCACCTTGCCGCGGATGCCATCTGTGCTCTGGGCCACCGGATGCCGGTGGAAGGTGAGGCGGTCGTCATCCTTGACGAAGACATTGAGTGAACGGTCCTCAGGGTTCCACGCGTGTCGCAGCTGCACTGCCAGGCCCGCAGCAGGCATGTCCAGCAGCTGGTCTAGCCTCGCCGGCCGCCCAAGCTCTGAGCCTCGGAGCTCCCGCTTGGCCGGCCGAAGTGCTGGCTCCCGCACCTCCACAGACTTGAGGCTCCCAGAGAGCTTCTGACCCATGGCTCACTGTGGGGAGGGGACCGCTGCTGGCCACGGCTACCTTGCGGGAGCCTCCGCTCCCGGTAGCCAGGGATGGATCCCGGGGCTGAGAACCAGGCTTCCGGATGGCTGGCCTCCACAGCCTCTGCTGGGCTGTGACAGGGGCCCAAGCTCCTGGAAAGAAGCAAAGAACACAGGTTGTGATAGAAGCATCAACAGCCAGCTACTCATCCCTTCATTTATGCCCAGGCCTGGGTACGCCCTGTGGCGAATATGCTAATTAATGTGCATAATAATTAATGATACTTCATATCTTGTGCCTTCCAAGTAGATGAGATATGGCAGACACTGTCCTCCATGATTAAGGTTTCCCCGTTCAGCTAAATCTTACGGAGGCCAGTGATTAACCAGTCTCTCGGGTAATAAATGACTGAAGCAACAGTCAAACCAAGGTCCTCTGCTCTCAAGAGTCTATTCTTGTCCCCAGAGCAACCACTGGTAATCACTGTTGCAATAAGAAAATGAACCCCCAAGAAATGGGAGCGTTGAGACACCGGCCCATACACACTTAGGGTGTGGCTCATGGTTTGGAGCTCCAGTTGTCTTGAGCTTAAAAAAAAAAATCTTAAAAATGCAACCAGGTTTGAGAAGCAAGATACAGAGCAAGTGTCCAGCAGGGTCACTCAGGGACAAGGATGCTAACATCTTTTCCCGTATTGTCGCCTTGGGGAAAATGGCAAAGCAAGAGGAAGAGAGAACTGGGCATTTCAAACTGTGGAGCCAGAAAGCACTGTTACAAATGCCTCCTTGTTTTGAGCCTCTCTTGGACTCCACTTTCCTCCTCTGTAAGTTTGGGTAAAGCACCTCCCTCCAGGCAGTATGTGAAGATGATACAATAAAAGCTCAGCTCTAGGGCTCTGGAGGCAGGTGTCCTCTTGGCTTTGTTCTCCGGGCACCCCACGGGGAATTACTTCCCTTGGATACACCAGTGTTTTCCCAAGGTATATAAACATCATTGATAACATTTATCCCAGTGAGCATCCCTTAATGCAAGATGGCAATTTTTCAGGAGGGGGAGGAACTGGCCAAAGGAAGGTCAGCCAGACTCCATAGAGCTTGGGGTGCTTAGATGGCCCGAAGTAAGGGGAAAAGAAAGGCTGAGTTTTACCCACTTAACTCCCGAAGCTGGCAGAGGACAGGTGTGTGCCTTCCTCTTCCCTAGCCTGAGAGTTGTTCGGCTCAGGACAACTTCCCCCGATACAAACAAGGAGACAGGATGCCGTCAAGCTCTGTCCTGCCTATCTGTGACTTCCTACTGGTGATGGCTAGTCTTCATCGTCAACTTAAGAAGCACCTATGAGATCAATGCAACTCGCCTCTAGGTGTATCTTCCAGGACATTTCCAGAGTCAAAGGTGGGAATGCTCACTCTAAATGTGGGCAGCGCAGTTCCACGGGCTGGCAATCCAGACAGAATAAATGGAGGAAAAGAGAAAGCTGCCCACTGTGGAATACTCTCTTCCCCACCCCCTTCCCGGCCACCACCGTCACAATGTAAGTTGCTGGGCTGAGGCGTGCCGTCTTTCCCATGATGATCGGAAACCTCTGCAGTCGCAAGGAGGAGAAATACTTTCTACCTCAGGTCATTGTCTCAGGCATTCTGTCATAGCACACAAGACTGACAAACACAGAAAACTGATCCTGGGACCCAGCTTGTGCTGTGACTATGCCTGACCACGTGGTAGAGAATTCTTTGTAGGAAGAATTCAGAAAAGTTTGGAGAAGCCAGCTAGAGACATCCTACAAGGCTGTTAGGCAGAGCTTAATGGGTGATTCTCAGGAGACCACAGGAGACCAGGATACTGACAGGAATGCCAACCAACAGCCCAGACATCTCATCCAGTTCCAGGTAGAAGCAATGCCTCATGGGAACTGAACCAAGGCCATTTGTGTTACTCTCTGGCAAAGAAGCTGCGTGCATTTTGTCCTTGTCCTGAGACTTCACACAGGCTGAATTTAAAGGTGAATAATGAATTAATTTGGGAGAGAGAGAGAGTCTCAGACAGCCCAGTGTCCAGGCTGTGGTGAAGTTTGTATCTTTCAGCCGTATTTACAGTGAGTTCTGGGAAGATGCAAACACTTCAAGTTTGTCCACAGGGGAAAAAAAAAAAAAAAAAAAAAAAAAACCCCGCAACGGTTAACACTGATTGTCAACTTGGCAAGATGTAGAATCACCTAGGAGACTGACCTCTGGTTTTGCTGGAAGGGGGGAGGGGAGCTTTGGAGCTGGCTTGGGGAGGGAGTCCCACAGTAATGTAGGCAGCCCCATCTTATGAGCTGGGGCCCTGGACTGAACGAAAAGAAGGTGAGCTGAGCCAGCATTCATCTCTCGTTCATCTCACCATGGCTGCACTGTGGCCACCTGCCTCACGGTCCTGCCATTGGGCTCTCTCCACAGAGCTGAACTGTAGCAAGCTGAAAGATACCTCTTCCTTCCTGAAGGTGCTCTTGTCAGGGTTGCCACGGCAATGAGAAAAATAACAAATACTGACACCATAAAAATGTGACCTCAAAAGAAATTAGAGCAGCGGTTCTCAACCTTCCTAAGGCTGCGACCCTTTGATACACTTCCTCATGTTGTGGTGACCCCCAACCACAAGATTATTCTCGTTGCTACCCTGTAACTGTAAGTTTGCTACTGTTACGACCTGTAGTGTAAGTATCTGAAATGCAGGATATCTGATATTCCACCCCGGTGAAAGGTCATTTGACCACAATGGGGGTCGTGACCAACAAATTAAGAACCACTGGATTAGAGAAATCACAAAAGGACATCAGGACAATCAAGATGCCTTGAGAGCATCTTAGGAATTGACTCAAAAGTGTGAAGAGTATCATTTATTTGGAAGACTCTGCCCCAAGAAGATAACTCCGTGATACCCTGACTACATCAGGTTTTTAGGAAATATTTCCTGCTTTCAACCATCAAGGCACTTAGAGGCCTCTTCAGCCATGGTCCAAGATGCCCTAGCTATTGCTTCAGGAGGCGGCAAATGCTAGCATTATCCACTATTCTGTTTTTTTTTTTTTTTCCAGGCATGCAGAATGCAAGGGCTATTGGATCATGGGGGATTAAACCTAGATTACAAAGGAGAGCTCAGGTGGCTAGACAGCCTGTGACAGATGTGGTTTCTCTGAAGGCAAGGGATTCCCAGGAGAAGCCAAGTGATTCCTCCAAGAGGGTAATAGTTGAAACTGTGAAGGTGAAGCCAAAGATGGCAGGAAGACAGGATGTCTGCTGAAGAAGGCAGCAGGCAGGGAGCAGAGACCCGAAACAAAGGGGCAAGGTGATCGCAAATGACAACGTCACAGGACCAAGGATGCTGGGCCTTTCAGAGCTGACATCATGACGCCTGGTGCCCATGTTTTCCCCGAGAAGTTTTAGTCTTGTTTTGGTTCCATCCTTTCCATTCCTTCACGCTGTCTACTGAAACAGGGATGTTTAGTCTGTGTCATCATATCTTCAAAACATGTGACTTATTTTTGCTCTTGCAGGGGCTCGTGGCTTAATGCGTGGGTGTAGGTTTAGAGGATAATTTGGATTTGAACATCGTTGCAACTGTTGAGACTTTGAGAAAGACTAAATGCATTTTAAGACATTATGAGAGAGAATTGAGCCTTTTGGAAGACAGAGCTGAAATGTCATAGCTTGTGTTATTATTTGACATGAGGTGAACTTGGGATGGTTCTTTTTTTTTTTTAATGTGTGCACACTTGTGTGTGTGTAAGGTCAGGTGAATGTGCGTATAGTGTGTAAGTAAGCCAGAGGTCAAACCTGAATGCATTCCTCAGATGCCATCTGCCTTACTTTTAGAATAAGGGTCTCTCATTGGCCTGGAACTTCCTGATTAGGCTAAAATGGCTGAGCAGCAAGTCCCAGAGATCCATCATCTGTTTCCACTTCCCCAGGGATGGAACTAGAAGTACACACAAACCATCATGCCCGGCTCTGTCAGCTTCTGCAGATCAAGCTCAGGCCCTTGTGTTTGTACAGCAAACACTTCACCAGCTGAGCCATCTCCCCAGCCCCATGATATCTTGAGTGTCAACTTAGCTGGACTGAGAAGTGCCTGGGAGAAGAGTCAGGCGAACCTCCAGTACTACTGCAGGCATTCCCTGCGTGCATCTGGCCTCCGAGATCACATCCGCCCTCTTCCGGCATATCCTCTCTGCCACAGTGAACTGAAACTCTGAGACAGTGAGCCAAAACCGATCCTTCTCCCCTTAGGTTGTTTCCTCAGGTGTTTTGTCACAGATGGAGAAAGTCTAACAATACACCACTCGGACAGTAGCAGACCCCAACCAAAGTCAAGAAGGGAAGGAAGGACCCCTGCACAGACACACATTTTGAAGTTTTTTTTTTAACCCTCCGGTTTTATTCTCAACTCCCATGTTCCTCCCTGTTGTCAAGACCTGCATCGGCTGGTATCAACTCGGCTTGGAAAGTTCTCGGTGACGTGTGATCTGAGAGAATACTAGATCACAAAAATCCCCAGCACTAGAGAGTTTAGAGGTGGCAGAATAAAGTTACTTGTCTTCTTATCCGAAATCACTCAAATTCAAGGAAAAAGAGAAAATAGGAATGCAAACGCCCTCTTGAGCAAAACTGGACACATTTGTAACCCAAACCACAGCTTATAGGGGAAGGCTGCCAAACACAGCCAGAGGCCTCCCAGAGCAGCGAAGATCAAAGCTAGTCCAAAAAACACCTCCAGAAGGCACCTTGCGGGGTCAGGGCTGAGGGAAAGCCTGCAGAGCAGGCCGGCAGCTGGGATTCCTGAAGGAAGACTTCTTTGGGCTAATCAGGAGCATCAGGCACAGGATGTGTTTTCTGATGTTGGGAGCGCTGGGAGCTGTGTTTGGCCTCTCAGGGAACTAACGGAGGGAAGCATAGGCATGCCTCCTTCACAGGCAGCTGAGTGTCGGGGAGGGAGGGCAGGAGGAGGACATGGAGCTCAGAGAAGCCCACAGCTACAGTTCTCTGCTGACTGAAAAGTAGCAACTACTAAAAGAAATCACCACCCCAGTGCTGGGAAACTTCGTTCTGTGAGCCACACTCATTGCAAAATCTGCAGCATTCCTTCTGCATCTGTCGGCAGAATCCTGATCCAAGAC